TAGGAAGGAAAGATGAATTTTGAAGAAGTATATATAGTAACCACATCACCATCTTTCTTTCCTTTTCTTCCACAAAATCTAATAAATTTAAAGAACAAATGAAAGTTAAATAAGAAAAAGGTAAATATCCATACCAACAAGTACTTACATTAACCTTTTTTCACCGTCTGTTAGTACAGTCTGTGAGGGTTTAGCGGAGACGGAATAGGAGAGGAAGACGAAGAGAAAAGGGGGTTAAGAAGAGATTGAGAGAGGAAATAGGAGGGAGGGAAAGAGAAGGAAGGAAGGTATAGAGGCAGGGTGGAGGAAGGGAGAGGGAAGAAAGGGAGGAAGGTATAAAGGAAGGAGGGAGGGAGGGAAGGAGAATTAAGGAAGGAAGGAGGGAGCGAGGGAGAGGGAAGAAAGAAAGGAGGGATAGGAAGAGAGAATGGTAGACAGCTCCCGACAATCGCAGACTTATGAACAGACTCAACCAGGTACAAAGACACAAAGACACTTGGACCTCGAAGCACAGTCACAAACAGCAGCCAGACGCAAACACAGAGACAGGACAGCCACAAGCAGATAAACAACCAGACACAAGGACAAGGACAAACAATCACAAACAGGAAAAACAACCAGACAGAAAGACAGACAAACGACAAAGACAGACAGCCACGAACAAAAGACAGACAACGACAAGCAACAAGACAACCAGGACTCCCCAAACAAAAGCCAGCAACGCCACACAAACAAACCGACTTTCAAAAAAAGAAACGGAGAGAAAGAGAGAGAGAGAGAGAGAGAGAACTTCGCCGCCAGACAGACCGAAATAGCAAGAGACCAACGACATGGTGAGACCGAGCGAGACCGAGGCGCTCTCGTGGTCTCGCCCCTGGCAACCGTGGCCGCTTGCCAATCTCCCCTCGGCCCCCCCCCCCTTGCTTTGACACCCTCTTGCATCTTTATCTCGGGCGGCGGTGGGGCTGTCTTTCCACTATATATAAATCGTTGATTCGGGCTTTTAAAGTTCTTTTTGTTTACGTAGTTGGGTGCGATGCCGGTAGAGGGTGCTGGCGCTCGGTGGCGGATACACGTGTTTATGTTTTTGCTGCGATTTTTTCTTTTTTTTTTCTCCCACAGAGGGTGCGCGGGTGGGGTTTTCCCGCCCGTGTGGGTCGGATTTTTTTTTTTTTTCTTTCTTTTTTTTTTTGCCTGTGTAATTTATTATTATTATTACAGTTCTTATTTGTGTTTTTTTATTATTATCGTTTTTTTCAGAGGGTTGTATCTTCAGAGCGCATATCCATTTCTTTATCTGATATGTTTCTTTGTCTATGTCAAGATAATCGTTATCTTTTGTTTGTGTGTCATATTATTGTTGCTATTATTAAACTTTTATTATTATATTCGTATGTTTTTGTTATACATTGTTAGTATTAGTAGTCGTTTTATTATTCATAATGATTTTAAAAAAACAAAATAATAATTCTTTTTTTGCTATAAATATTATTGTGATTGTTATAATTACTATTATCATTATTGTTGTTCTTGTTATTATTATTAATATTATAATAATAATAATAATAATAATAATTATCATTATTATTATTATTATTATTATTATTATTATTATGATTTTATTGCTATGATTATTATTATTATTATTATTATTATTATTATTATTATTATTATATCATTACTATTATTGTTATTGTTATTATTATTTTTTGTTATAGCTGTCATTGTCATTGTTATTGTTATTTTTATTACTATTCTTATTGTTGATAATAATAATGATTATTATTATTACTATTACTGTTACTCTTGTTATTATTACTATTATAACTTACTCTGACTATTATCACCGTCATTATTATTAGTACTATTGCTATTATTATTTTCATTATTATTATTATTATTATTATTATTATTATTATTATTATCATCATCATCATCATCAGTATCTATTATAGTTGTTGTTGTTGCTGCTGCTGCTATTTGTATTATTATTATTACTAATATAATTTATTATTATTATTATTATATATTTTTATCATTATTATTACTATTTATTGAAAATGAGACGACAGTTTCGGAATCCACCTGGATCTCATCATGGATTTTTCTATTATTATTATTATTATTATTATTATTATTATTGTTATTATTATTATTATTGTTATTATTATTATTATTATTATTATTATTATTGTTATTATTATTATTATTATTATTATTATTATTATTATTATTTGAACATCATGGTTATTATTTCATTATTCTTATCATTACTATCATCATCACTATTACCAATAGATAATTAGCGATGCTTGTTAACAGTATAAGTACCAGAAACCACGCCAGGAATCAGTAACAGCCTTGAACGATTTATCAGCCTTATAATTGATAACACCATAAGAATCCGACGCCACAAACAAGAAATGTATGAAGAAAGCAGTTTTATGACTTAACTGTTTTCCACTTCTTATCAGCTTCATTAGAGGCGAGAATTCACGTGGAATGCGACCTGCCTCTCTGTTTTGACCTGTTGGGGGACCGATTGACTGTTGTCCTGTTTGACTCGTTTGTCTGTTTGTCTCTGTTTGTTTTGCTGTCTATTTGTTTGTATGTTTGTCTGTTTGACTCATTTGTCTGTTTGACTGTGTCTGTCTGTAGGATTTATTTTCGAATACGATTTCTTAATATTTCACACACACACACACACACACACACACACACACACACACACACACACACACACACACACACACACATACACACACATGTAGTTAAATAGTTTTATTGTTGTTTAGGGTATTTAAGATAAAGTTGTAGTGTTATAGTTATTGATGATTATCATATAGTTATGGTGTCATGCCTATTGGTAATTATATATTCACATAGCTTAAGGGTCATTTTTTAAAAGAAAACGGGTAAACTGATGAAGATAATACTTTATGACGATGTTAATGAAATAGATAATGATAGTTGATGTAACAGCAGTAGTAGTATCGATGATGATAAGGCAATAAAAGCCATTTGAAAGGATGACAAGATAATAATATTAATATCTAGAGCTTCAGCAATAAAAGCAGAAATAATACAGTGTGGGATTTTACAATATATATAAGATATATATATACTTTTTTTTTTCTCGAGAAATCTGCTTTTTGTTGTGATTTGAAATGGCATTAAAAACGCGACCTGGAAGTGACACGGAAGGCAACTCAACACCAACAAAAAAATATAATTAAAACGCGCCCTTCTTCACAACCACATCTAGAAATAGGCAAAAAAGGCAAACGTATTTTTTTTTCTTTTTCTTCTGTATCATTGCCCTTTATCAACCAGTAAAAATACGATGAGATAACGGGAGAAGCGGCAGCTGACTGACTGCCTTTGTCCTCGGGAGGGGCGGGGCGTCTCTGTTTCTATTTTCTTTGGATTTTTTTGGATTTCTGCTTTTGTCTTTTTTGTCTGTGTACTTGGCTATGTTTTTTTTTTTGTCTTTCTTATTACATATATATATATATATATATATATATATATATATATATATATATATATATATATATATATATTTTGTCTTTCTTATTATATATATATATTTTTTTTTTCTGTCCCTCCTTCGCTATTTTGTGTGTGCCTCTCTCTCTCTCTCTCTCTCTCTCTCTCTCTCTCTCTCTCTCTCTCTCTCTCTCTCTCTCTCTCTCTCTCTCTCTCTGTCTCTCTCTCTCTCTCTCACTTCCCATTTGTGCCTTTATTTATGGCTGATTGATTAGTTGGTTCTCTTGTGTTTCACTTTCTCTGTCTGTCAACATCTCTGTTTCTTTCTCCCTTTCTTCCTTTGTTTTCCTTGTCCGTTCTTTCCCGCCCTCTCTCCCTCCCTCACCTTTACCCCCCAACCCCCTCTTACCCATCCTCCCTCCTCCCCCAAACCCCCCTTTCCCTCCCATCCTCCCTTCCCCTCCCCCTCCCTCTCCCTCCCTCGCACTCCCCCAACCCTCCCTCAGCCCTCCCTCCCTCCCTCACACTCCCCCAGCCCTCCCTCCCTCCCCTTCCTTCCCTCTCTCCCCTCCTTCCCTCCCTCCCTCCCTCCGCCCATCCCACCTTACGTCTCCCACGTATAACACACACACGCACACACGCATTGTCACTTCAAGGGATCCGGCGCTGTCATATGCCATACAGTGGCAACCGCGACCCTCCCTCGCCCCATAGCTCCAAGGGCACGATCTTGAAGACGCAGCCGTTTGACTTATCTATCTATTTACATCCCCAGTCTCTCTCTCTCTCTCTCACTATCGTTATCAACACCTACGCTCCCCCCCCCTCCGGCTTTATCAGTCACTCATGGGACTTAAAAAAGATGAGACTCGGGTTCTTGAGATATGAAACGCCATAGCGGAGTGCAGATAAGGGGGCAGTTCTGTTTTCTTGTAGACTGTACTAGTGTTATCAGTTGTACAGTCTACAGTAGATGAAGGACATAAACACAATGATAAAGTGGAGAGGAACCGAAAGTCAGACATAACCGAGGGGAGTGATATGACTGTGACGTTTCGAGTGAAAACTGGTTTCGTCTTCAGGTGGAGTCTGGTGCCGAGACTAACAGGACTCAAAACGTCGCTCTTTGTCATTTCTTCGGCTGTTTCACTTATTTAGAGATCTGGTTTGTTAGGAATTTCTCTGTTTTTATTCTTCATTTTTTAAAAATCATTTTACCTTTGCCTAGATTTATCTTTTCCTTATTGGGTTTGTCCTTATTTTGACTGGTCATTGATTGTATTTTTTCAGTCGTAACATTTCTCTTTTTCTCCTTTTTATAAACATATTTTCTCTCTGTGTCCATTATTGCCATGACTATTGTTATTGTTATTATCATTTTTGTTATTATTGTCATTGTCATTATCATTATCATTATTAAGGTTATCACATTTCATATCCCTCGCACCCTTTCCCTTATTCACTGATTTCAACAATAACTTCTTCATCTCCCTCTCTCTCTCACACTCTCTCTCTTTCTCTCCGCTGTGCAGGTGTTTGACCCGAACATCACGATGGTGGAGACGGGTCCAGCTCCAGACCAGGAGAACAACACAGCGAAGTTCGTGATCGGTGCCAGCGATGAGGACTTCGAGGAACAGGAGACGCTGCAGCTGCCGGTGAGTTAGGAGAGGGCGGGGAAGGTTTTCGTTACTCTAAGGTGCGTGTGTGTGGGAGGGGGGGAGGGGGGGGTAAATATCTCTGCTGCAGTTAGTGTTGCCTTTCTGGTGGTTCTCCCTGTTAGGATTCTTTTTAATGATCTAGTGGGGAAATTCTGAAAAAGTTTACTGTACATTTAGCGATTTTCTTTAAAGGCCTAGATGTCAGTAGGAAAATTATGCGCCTTTTTATTCACGTTTAGCCGGTTTTTAAAAGTCCGGTCAAGCGATTTTCGTGGGAATATCAATGACAACACTGGCTGAAGGGGTGGAAGGTAATATTGCTGTCGCCGGATCTAGACTGAAAGCTGATGGGTGCGCTGGCTATGGCTGTTGATTTTATAAGGGGTTTATTATCTCCACTGAAGGGGCCTGAGGGAGGTACTGATCTGAATGTCGGTTGGTTTCATGGATCTGTTTGGAGGATGATCTGAAAATGGGAGATTTTCTGGACATTTTCTGCGATTGATATTTTTATTCATTTTACTTTTTTAAAATCATGATGACGTATCGATGCGTGATTTTGTTTGTTTGTTGTGAGGTATTATATTGGTCCTCGCTTTTTCTTCTTCTTTTTCTTGTTTTCCTTGATGACTTTTATTCTAGATTCTCTCGGGGTCTTTTTTCAATGGATTTTGCCTTAGAGACTATTAACGTTTTGTTCTTATTTTTTCCAGTGTTTTTTATCTGTTGTGTTTTCGTTTAACTTTCATAAACTTCGTTAGCGTCTCTCGTTTTCTCATCTGTCTGTATATCTATCTTTCTCCCCCCCCCCCTCTTTCTCTCTTCTCTCTCTCTCTCTCTCTCTCTCTCTCTCTCTCTCTCTCTCTCTCTCTCTCTCTCTCTCCCTCTCCCTCTCTCCCTCTCTCTCTCCCTCTCTCTCCCTCTCCCTCTCTCTCTCCCTCTCTCTCTCTCTCCCTCCCTCTCTCTCTCTCCCTCTCTCTCTCTCTCTCTCTCTCTCTCTCTCTCTCTCTCTCTCTCTCTCTCTCTCTCTCTCTCTCTCTCTCTCTCTCCCTCTCTCTCTCTCTCTCCTCTCTCCCTCCCTCTCTCTCCCTCTCTCTCTCTCTCTCTCTCTCTCTCTCTCTCTCTCTCTCTCTCTCTCCTCTCTCTCTCTCTCTCTCTCTCTCTCTCCTCTCTCTCCCTCTCTCTCTCTCTCTCTCTCTCTCTCTCTCTCTCTCTCTCTCTCTCCTCTCTCTCTCTCTCTCCCTCTCTCCTCCTCTCTCTCCTCTCTCTCTCTCTCTCTCTCTCTCTCTCTCTCTCTCTCTCTCTCCCTCTCTCTCTCTCTCTCCCTCTCTCCCTCCCTCTCTCTCCCTCTCTCTCTCTCTCTCTCTCTCTCTCTCTCTCTCTCTCTCTCTCTCTCTCCCTCTCTCTCTCTCTCTCCCTCTCTCCCTCCTCTCTCTCCCTCTCCTCTCTCCTCTCTCCTCTCCTCCTCTCCCTCCCTATCTTTCCATTCTACTCATCCACCTTTATCTGTCCTTTCTTATTATGCACACGCTGATACTGCAAGTGCAACACCTCGGAGGCTCTACATGATAGACAATAAACTTCTATTGCAATGATATAAAATCCTTCCCAAGAGTCCCTTCGAAGCCCGGCCAAGGAAGATGCCTCCCGCCATTGGGTTCACCAGCGCCGCCTACGAGACGAAATATTCATTATTATTATTATTATTATCATCATTATTATTATTATTATCATCATTATTATTATTATTATCATTATTATTATTATTATTATTATTATTATTGTTATTATTATTATCATTATTATTATTATTATTATTATTATTACTATGTAGCATTTCATTTTATTTCATTTATCTTGTTTTTTCAGTGTGGTTTGCGTCATCTGGTTGTCTCGTTTAGTATTTCGTGTTGGTTAGATTAGGGTGTTAATGTTAATACAGATGTAGTAGGTGTAATTACATGGATGTACGTCATATGGCATCTTATATTCATGCATACATACTTATATATACATATATATATTTGTGTGTGTGTGAGTGTGTGTGTGTTTGTGTGTGAGTGTGTGTATGTGTGTATGTATGTATGTATGCATGTATGAATGTACGTATGCATGAGTGTATGGGCGTGTGCGTGTATGCATGTCTGAACGCACAGTACCCGTGCCTACAAAGGCCCGACCCGCCGTCACTTCCCGGTCTTTCAAGAGGCTGTAACATGAAATCTCACGATGAACTTTCACTTTCCGAGAAAATGTCAAGGAAGTGAAGAGCAGACGGAAGGAGGAGGGAAGCGGGAGTCTGCGCCGCTTTTTGCTGGATTCTGTTCCAAAGGCGGGGGAGGTGAGGGAG